GGGTGCTCCGGTCCGACTTCTACTTGCCGTAGTAGCGCCGCTTGATCCCGCCCCTCGGTTTCCACCAAGTTGAGGGCAATTTGGTTTAAGATGCCCCGTGTCTCCACATTGGTAGCACCGAGGAGGGTCACGACACTTACCGGCGTGGCTCCTGTTGCAATTTCGGCACCTGGGCGCTGTCGAGGCTTGTGAGCCCGAGTTGTGCCCGCCGAAAGCCGAGTTTCCCTTGGATGGCGGCGCCGGTGCCCTGAACGATCCTCCTCCCCCGTGGTTCCCCTTTTTGTTAGAACCTTGTGGGCCATGGCTTTCCCACTTCCTCTTCTTCGCCTCATCGGCGTTCCTCCGCTTTCTTTCCTCCCACTCCTTCTCTCCCTTCAGGCCTTGTTCAACCACTTGACTAAACGTCATATTAGGCAATTGTGTTGCCCTCTCGCGTATGTCGAGGTCTAAGGCATCCCAGAAGTGGTTCACCATCCGGTTCTCATCACATATGTACTCCGGTATGAATTCGGCAAGCTTTCTAAACTTGTGCTCAAGTTCCTTCACCGTACATGCGCCTCCCTGTGTCAAGTTCGTATACTCCCTCCTCTTCATGTTTACCTCGAAGTCGGAGTAGTATTGGTTGAAGAACTCCTGCCGAAAGTTCTCCCATGTGACGGCTTCGCCGTATTTCCCTTTGATCCCGTCCCACCACGTGGACGCCATGCCTTCGAGCAATCTTGTTGCCACTCTCAGTTTCATGATGGGTGGCAGCTGCATGTCAAGGGCCGCCTCGTTGAATCTTTTGATCCATTCGGCCGCAACGGAGATGTCTCCTGTTCCATCAAACGGTTTACACCCCAAATCTCGTGCTTCTTTGATAAGTTTGGAGATCCTTATGGTTGGACCTCCCACATTTTGGCCTCCATGTGGTTCAACATGGACTCTAGAAGCACCTTGGCTTCCTCCTCTCGAAGCCATGCCCGAAGGTTGCCCCGTTCGGCGCCTTCGGCGTTGTCTCCTCTCTTCGCGCTCCCGGTGGTATTGTTGGAGCAGCGCCTCGATCCTCCCAAGAGTGCCATCGTCTTCACTCTCTTCACTTACATCGTCATCTTCCCCATCATATGGGGTCTCCACCGGCTCGGTTTCCGGCCTATAGGTTGAGTCCTCATAGGACCAATAAGTCTCACTCTCAGTGTCCACGTGGCCATCGCTCACGGTTTGTTGTTGGCCTCCACGGCCCCTTCCCCTGGACACCCTAGTGGACCCCCGACTGCCGCGTTCGGACCCACCCGGTACACGGCCCATCGGGTTCCTCCTCGTGATCCTTCCAATTGGCTCCATTTCTGAAAGAAGTTTAGAATGAGCCGTTAGACTCGTATCAAACGTCAAGTGACGGATAGGTACTTAGGGACATCTTTTGGCTCAAATCACCGCCATGCCAATTGTTAAGGGTACCATCTTAACAATTAGAGACTTTGCAACTCAAGTATCAAAAGTTCTATAAGTACAAAACTTTATGCTCATGGTTTTCAAATTTTTTTTTTTTTTTTTTTTTTTTCAAAAGGAATTTTGAAGCTTCATTATGAAGTTTACGGACTAAGGCTCTGATACCAATTAAATTGTCACGCCCCGGACCTACCGGACACGTCAACAACCCGCCGTACAGTACGAATAGTCAACCGCAGTCCAACTCATCCATACTATACTAGGCGTCTTGAATACCATTCACACATAGTACATCCATAAACAACATAATGTAAAATAATCATTTAAAGCAGCGGAAATATTCAATACAAAGTGCACGCCACACTTTGGCAACATGGGCATACAAGCCCTAAATACATATTAAAGAAAAATAATATCCATGAGCATGGTTTAAATCGTTTTCAAAACAGAAACAGAAGAAGCACGAACCACGTCTTCTTCTCTTGAATTCTCCGATACAACGGGCGGTAGCGGCAAGCTTTAATCCCGACCTGAAACTGTGAGGTGGCCTCCCCCGTGAAGGGGAGGTCAGTACTTGGAAGCATTTGACAAGTACAATGACAACTATACTAAGTATAATCAAAGTTTCAATTTCCAAGACCCTCAACTTGGGATGTTACTATTTGAAATTAATTTATGTTCTTTCATGCTAGAGCTCGGCTCATAGTCATGTTAATTTGTGCTAGAGCTCGGCTCATAGTCACACCACATTTCGCTAGAGCTCGGCTCATAGTCATTCCTACATTTTTGTGCTAGAGCTCGGCTCATAGTCACACTACATTTTGCTAGAGCTCGGCTCATAGTCATTCCTATATTTTTGCTAGAGCTCGGCTCATAGTCATACTACCACGTGCTAGAGCTCGGCTCGTAGTCACGTCATCTAATCCCTAAACCACTTCTTAGTCTAGGCTCCATTCCTTTTGAGTAACCCTTGAGGTCTACTCCTAACATAACTTGACTTCGTAAAGTCCACCCTAATTATCCTTTAAGGTTACTTAGCTTCAATATTTTGGGATTAGCTCCCAAGCACTATTGAACTAACATCCCCGACTAGTCTTCAATACTAGTCGTCTAATCTTAATAAGCCAACGCCAATTTCATAATAATTCATACATTTCAATTTAATTTCACCTTCAAGTATAACTTGATTCAATATCAAAATATCACTTTTATTCCCTTCATGAGGTAAAAGCATATTTATCACCATACAATTTTATAGCCTACACCACAATTGGGTCATTATAATCACAACACATAATCATACACAATTTATTCTTAAATTTGTATATTATGCATTTTCTTTATGAACAATACTATATTCCATTTTAGGTATTCTTAATCATAAATAACTCATGCCAAACACATATAATTCATTTAGGCAATCTTATGAAATTAACCCAATAATTATAAACAATATAGTCGGTCATCCTCACCTTAAGTGAGCTTAAGCGCGTTCTACACTTCCCGGTTGAACTTTGGCGAACTTTGACCAACTCCGGCCAACTTTGACCAACTCCGGCGAAACTCCGGCGAAGCTCAAAGATACTCTAAATCAAGTTCCTAACAAGGTTTTAACATCATAAAACCTTAATCAATACACATAACCTCTAAAAGGTTATTTTCCGGTGAACTTGTCGGTTTGGCTTCTAAATCCATTTTTGGACATAGAACCACCTTCCAACCCCTTGTTCCACATTTATCAACATGTAGAACAATCCTAGGGTTCTTCATAATTTCTCAAATAATAATGTATTCAAGAAAAAGAGAAGAGAAAGGTAAGTGAAGCCATTACCTAGCCTTTCCTCAAGTTTTGTACACTTTTGGAGCTTATACTTTTTCCTAGAGCTTCCTTCTTGGTGGAGCTTCCTTCAACAATGGTGAGATGTTTGAGAGCTTCCTTGCTCTTGGTGGAGGGATGCTGGCCGAAATGATTGAGGAGAAGGGGGGTGGGTGTTCTTTTGTCTCAAATGCATGAGTGGTGTGGAAAGGGCCCACCTTGTATTTGTTTGATTCTTTTCCCATCAACTCCCACTCTCTCCATACTCCTTCAGCCGACCAACCCCTTTAATTGAGTGTCCAAATTCGTGGGTTGGCCCCCACCCATGTGGGAGGTCAACCCTTTTTGTCCAGAAGTGTACAATTTGTCCCGAAAGTTGTATTTTTCGGACTGTTTTAACTGTATTTTATTTTATCGGGTCAAATAAAATGTATTATGTGATTTCCATCATTATGACTCTTATGATGAATATTCATACCCCAACTTTAATTTATAAGTCCCCGAAATTCAATTTCGGGCTTTTATCGGTTAAATTACTAGTACCGGTATTTTGGCCTTTTTTTTGATCAACCGGTCAACTCTATATCATCTCTTTGGACCAATGAGTTATACACCACCATATAAATATTATATTGACCAAGATGAATAAAATGTACGGACTCGGGAATATCGGGCGGCCTCCGCTCCCGGTGTGGGCCCCACGTGCGAATTTACCATTCACGCAAAATAATTAATGAAAATTCACAACTTCGTATACTCGTTAACCACTCCATAAGTTCAATACATTATTCACTTAAAAGTAAGTACTTTTTGGGGACGGTGTTACAAGAGTGATGGTTCAGTAGGTGATGATGATGCTCACAGTGATGATATTCCTCAGCAGGGGGAGCCTTCATCTGAAGATGAAGCTGAAGGTACTCATGTTCGACGTTCTATGGATACTTGTTGCTAGCGAGGGGGAGCCAGCGAGCACCGCAGGAATGAGAGAAACAAAGAAAAAGGTGGAGGAGGAGATTTGTAGGGAATTTCCACCTTCTTTCTTGGAAGTTGTCAAGAGACATCTCACACCTTCATGAAGGAGCTCTCCAACAATTAGGCATGGGAGAAGATATAGAGATAATTAAGAAGCTTGGATGCAACTTCCGCTTGTCTCCAAAGTAGCCTATAAATAGAGTGCTCCATGTTGTTCATTATCATCTGTTTTAGAAAGTGAGAAAAGTGTGTGAAGAGTGAAATACACTTAGAATAGAAGTGTATTGGTGAGGATTGGTTTTTTGTAATAGTTGAGTGTGAGAGTTTGTTCCTCCTATTGTAATTCTGTTCTTGATATTGAATAGAAGAATTTTCCAATCCCAACAGTTACGATCTCGAAAACGAAGAAGAAAAATGGAAAACGACATAGAATAGAAAACAAATTAAATAGTAATGAATTGCGAAAGAGAAGAGAGCTTGAACGCCGTTAGACTAGTTCAGAAATAAGCCAGCTCCTTTCAAAAACGAAATAAACTGCTAAGAAGGTAGTTGACCGCGCGCATGACAGCGTAGAATTAAATTAGGCTGATTCCAAATTTATTAAGTGGGTTATAATGGACTTTGTAGAAAGACACGAAAGTTACAATAGGAGTAAGAGACTCCTAATCAATTTAAATAGAGAATAATTTATTGTAGGTCTATTCTGGATTTTAAGCATTAATTAAATCCCATTTAGAGCAAAAAAACTCTTTACTCTTTAACTTTCTATCACACCAAACTGGAAAAAAAAAAAAGTTACAGGAGAGTAAAATTTCCAAAACAAAAAAGTTGAACCCCAAAACTTTAAAAACAATAAGTTGTTTATTGATGCTTTCATCGATCAAATATGAGTGTATTACACGTTACGTACATGTTTATTCATTCTTCCATATGGAGAAGATAGATATCGTCGATCACTTAGCTTATTGTGTGAAAAGAAGGAAAACAACAAATTTAGAACATGCATGCATGTAATTAGAGGAGTGAACAAGTTTTGTTGTGCAATAAGAGCGAAGAGCTAAACCGAAACGTTGAAGAGTCAAGATCAAACTCCAGCAAGTTATCCTCCAGTTGATGAGTCCCAATGACAATGGATGCGCTCGGGAAGTTCTTGTTCTTAGATTCTGATCCCCCGCCATCCACAAATGCCAGACACGTCACCTTGTCATTCACCGCAAACATCGAATTGGCGCCGTAGATCTTCCAAGAAATGCCATTTCCGGGCAAAACTAGTTCGATGGTCGGGACAGAAGGGCCGGTGGCGGTGGCGGGAATGGTGGCGGAGTCGAAACATGCACTAAACGGTGGCACCGCCGCCATGACCCTTTTTATATTCCTGTCCGCGGCCGCCTTGATGAAAGCCCTTACTAATGGCTTGTAGAGGGAAGTATGGAGTGCGGTGAAATTGTTGGTTGTGCTGAATTTAGTGCCTCCAAAGCCATCTTTGTCGAAGGTGAAGTAAGAGCTTTTGACCGACAGGGGTTGACCGTTGACTTTGACCCCCCGTACGTCGATGAAGTATTCGTCCGAAGGTTGACCCTTGACAAAAACAGCAGGGCCGGTACTTGAAGGGTTCACAATGAGGGGCGTCGAGATTAGGGAGGCCTCAATACTGGACAAGTCTGCGCCAATGTTTAACTTTCCTAATCCCGAGGAAGGAAGACACATGGAGAATTTATCAGGAAAACCAAATGTGGTGGCGACTTGTTTGTGTAGAGAAACATTGGTCCTAGCAAGGCCTAGAATCCCGCTGGCACCGCTAGCCAGACCCTCGGAGAAGCCCGTGCTCATGCACCCGTACGTAAATCGAGCTAGCTGATCGCCATTGCTTGCGAACAACGTGTCGGATTCATATCCTGAAGAGACAAGAGCGCCTTGGAATGGGTTGTAAGCGGAGGCCCCACACGTGTCGTTGGTGCACCCGGGGCGCGGGGGGGAATTGTTGCACCCCACGCATCCGTCACCCTTAGCTAGCTCACACTGTTGTGAGCTGCAAGGGATGGGAGCGAATGTGGATGATGTGTAATTGTCACAGTCGAACCAAAAGAATTTGCCTCCGAGGTCGATGACCGCATTAACGGTTGCCCGGGTACTGCCCATTCGGACGGTGGTGTAGTGTTGCAATGTTTTGGGGTCTTTTCGAAGAGGCAGATTGAAGGCATCGGAAGTAGATACAAGGATGGCAATAATGAACAAGTTTACTAAACAGTAATAAGAGGAGGCCATTGTCTTGTGTTGGTGTGGATTGATCAGATCGTGAAATTGTATGTTATGTATTGATTACCTTGCATTCAGAGGTATTTATAATTTATTGATCGATTGACAAGCACGCATGGGTATTTTAATTTGTTTGGTCAATGTTGGTGCCTAAATCCAGCTCGATCAACAACTGCTCATATCAACTGTGTTGACCGTTGAAGATCGAGGAATCCATCCATTAAATTATACCAGCCTGTCGAGTATGTACTACTCCGTATGTACGACCTTCTCCACGCTCCCCAACTCTTACCGGGGGCGCCACACTTTTTCCTTGCTTAGACAATTTTGTGCTTTTCTTTTGTAACTAGGGATGATAACAGGCGGATCCGAGACGTTTTACATATAATTGTACCCGTCTCGTTAGGTGATTTCTTCGCCCGTAACCATGTCATTATCCAATGGGTAATTTTTATCAAAATCGTACCGTCCCAACAGATAACCGCTTTATTAAATGAGTCATTAATATTTTAATATAAAAATAATATTTTAAAAGGTGAAAAAATGGCATCGCCTATACGACTCTAAACTTCATATGCCACTTAAAGATTCGTATATCCACAAGATGAGAAAGAAGACAACCTAAATTAATTTGAACCTAAAAATATTTAATCTGAAAAATAATTAATCATGAAACAATCTGATAAGAATCAAACAAAACTATTAAAATCTACCATGAACTTTTATTCATACATATAGTTAGTACATCTATTATTGGTGGTATGCCTCCATAGAGGTTTTGGCTTTGATCCCCCTCTCAGTTTGTTTTCTTTCCACTTTTTAATAAAATGCGGTATTGCGATAAATGTTCTTCGGCATTTACTTCACTGATTTTGGTGATTTACCTTCCGGGTTAAAAAAAATACACAATGAAAAGAGATAAATCTCATCTTTTAGTAGTTGTGGGACAAAAAAAGATAAAAATGTAATAAAAATATATTAAAAAATAAACAGGGCGGGTACGGGCTATGAGTGGGGCGGACATGTATAAAACTGCAACCACCCCGTTCCTCGTAAAACAAACGGGTACCCCCCGTACCCGTTGCCCGGTCAATGCGATTTTCCTCGTTTTGAACGGGGGGCGTTTCGGTGCAGGTATCCATCGGATCGGTCACAATTGTCATCCCTATCTGTAACCTCACTTTTTGATGATTTTTTTAAAAACAGGCTACTTTCGTATACTTTAAAAGTTTGTATCGTAAAATAACAATATTATTTAGATGATAATTAACTAAGATAATTCGAGTATCTTTTAATAGGGGTAAGCATTCACTCGGTCAAATAATCGACCGATAGTCGAATAACCGACCAAATTGTTTCACCTCTATAACCGACCAAAACCAACCATATAAATTTGGTCGGTAACCGAATAACCGACCGAAAAACTTTAGTTCGATTTTAAGTCGGTAACCGAATAACCGACCTGTCCGATCATATAAATTTTGAGAGCCTATTGTTTCAAAATTCTTACTGCTTTAAATAAAAAAATATTAGAAAAAACCATTGATACAAAAGTCGTCGAAAATACTTGAGTATTTATCCTACAAAAAAATGAATGAAATAATTGATCATATATAAAATGCTTTTTCTGCACAACAACAACATCCAAGTCATATAAAAAGAAAAAGAAGATAAACGATAAAAGAAAAAGAGAGAAAAGATAGAAAAGAGATCGATCATCCACATGAATGTGCTCCCTCCACTTTGCTCTCTCTAAAGTCATACTCTCGTCCAACCCAAGAAGGCGCATATCAGTTCCGATTCCTCTAATCTAAGTCTGTTTGGGTCCTCCCCTCCCTCTTCTCTGCCCCCACCCCTCAAGTCTTCTAACACGTGCATCTCTCGGTCTTCTATGCACATGACCAAACCATTTCAAATGAGACTCCTGCATCTTATCTTCTATAGGTAAATACTACTCCCACCTTTTGTCTAATTATCTCATTCCTCAGGAGATCTTGTCAGGTATGTCCACACATTCAACGCAACATACGCATCTCTGTCACACTCATCTTTTGAATGTGATATAGTCTCACCACCCAACACTCTACACCATACATTAATGCAAGACTAATTGTTGTTCGATAAAATTTACATTTTAGTTTTGTCGGCATACCTCGATCACATAGAAATCCTGATGCCTCTTCCATTTCATCAACCCAACTCTAATTCTCTGGGATACATCTTCATCTATCTAATTCACCTTCCTTCTAAATTATGGAGCCCAAATAACGGACCATATCACACACTGGTATCCCCTTACCATCAAGAGTAATCCCACTGTTGCTACTACTTCTACCTCCACCAAACTTGCACTCCATATACTCAGTCTGAAACCCTCGGTCTCTAATATTTGTCGCCATACTCTAACTTTGCTCTAACACCCGATTGCGTCTCATCAATCAATACGATATTATCAGCTAACATTATGCACCACAATATACCTTCTTGAATTGAGTTCGTGAGTACATCCATGACTATAGCAAATAAGAAAGGACTCAGAGCCGATCATGGTGCACTCCGATAGTAATAGGGAACTTTGCGGTCCTCCCTACACTAGTACGGACACTTGTAGTACAAGCCTTATGCATATCCATGATGATACTGTATACTTACGTGATCATGTGTCTTTCTAGTTTAAGGCCCACCAAAGAATTTCTCGAGCTACCACATCGGCCTATCATATGCTTTTTCTAAGTCAATGAACAAATAAGAACTGGATTATAAGAACATATCCAAAATGCTTTTTCTTCATCGACGAAAAAATAAGAATAACTGGATTATATTATCTCATAATTAAATTTATTTTTTACGCTACTCATAGTTATTTTTTGTGCATGAATCGTTTTATCTCATTTAGATGAACCAGTAACTCAGTAAGTAGTAAGGATGTTTTCTTTTGGACTGAAATTTGTTGGTCTGGTCTGGTCTGGTCTGATTTGGTCTGGTCTGGTCTGTTTAAATCTGGTCTGGTCTGAACCGGTCTGGTCTGGTCTGGTAAACGTCTGGTCTCTGAGTATTTTATAACTATCCAAGTCTGGTCTGGTCTGATATGGTCTGTTTAAGTCTGTTCTGGTCTGGTCTGTTTAAGTATGGTCTGGTCTGGTCTGGGGCTGAAAACAGTCCAAAAGAAAACATCCTAAATACATGAGATTTTTTTAAAATATGAGGTTTTGTGTTAAAATATTACTATGTACTAAAGATGGATGAAAATGTGACTAAAGTTACTATGAGTATATCATCATGATCACTATAATATAAAATTTAACACACGCATGCTCATTAAAGTTAGTATAGTAGTCACTATATAAAAAGTCACATTTGTATGCACTACATACATTTTGGTCATATATTTGACATTATTTCTTTATGAAATTGTGATTTTTGGGAATTGAAACATCACAGCATGTGTTAACCAACCGATAACCGATTTTTATACGAAGTAGACTATACCTCGGTTTTCGGTTAACCGACCCATAATTGATTAAATAATCGATCAATAACCGAAAAACTAAATAACCGACTTTTAGGAGAAAATTCTCTAAAGGAGACTAAAACAATGATAAAGTTTACATATATAGGACTATCATTATTTTATTTCCTAAATAAGACTCATTCACTCATTCACTCATAATTTAGGAAGTTTAGTTCAAATTTTTCTTTTAATTGCAATAAATGAGTCCTATTAAGGGAATTAAGCACACTTAGTCCCATTTTTGCATTTTGTTTATCTGTGATAACCGATAATCGACCGACAACCACATGTTTCTGTCAATTCGGGTATCAGTTTCGATTTTATCGATTTTGCCGGCTATTTTCTCACCCCTATTTTTGAGAAATACATTTTCCTGAATTTTATACGTAGTACTACGTATTTTGTATATGCCTCTTATAACTTTGTAATCTTTTTCTTTTTTTATTATCTCAAAAATTATGATATTTTCCTTTTAAATAATTATTTTGTGGTTTTATTATTTTTTTCATTTCTATACGACATTTAATGACACAATTTTTATTTTACTATCATTGTAGCGATTAAATTGTCAAAGTCTATGAAGCACGGATACTTCACTAGGGTTTCGTATCGACGTATCGGAAACATTCCCATATCCGATACTCTAGGATACTCGTACCGTTCGTTCCCAGGTCGTATCTGCAATTTTTAAAAGTTTCCATTTTTTGTAATTATTTTAAAATTTCGGATACTCGTATCCTGAAGGACGACGGATACCTGTATCAACTTTTTAAATACAGAGTAAAAGAAATCTTCCAAAAAAACTTTTTTAAAAAACACTCAATTTTTACACAATAAAATTCTTAAAAAATGAAAAGCTAAAAAATAATTTTTACCTTATTTTATGTGGTACACAACTAATTGGTCTGTTCCTATTTCACCCAACATTTTATTCGTAATTCTAATTATCCCTGAAAATTAATAGCTTCAACAAAAATATGTATTAGAACTTTTACAATATTGTTTTCTATCTTCATTATTTCTAGAATTTTGAGTACTTGCACTTTTAATTTCAAAAGTGTAGTTGTTTGGCTCATTTCTTATTTTAAATTAATGACTTATTGACTATATTTATATTTCGAGGTGCATTAGTGTATATAAGATAAAATATGGACGTATTTCTTAGTATCTTGAAAATGTAAAATGCTTCAATGCCATGAATGAGTAGACGTCAGAAGATAATAAATTTTTCAAAAAAATGTATTTTTAATATTTATAGATACACCCCTGTAACTTTTAATATTTATAAATACACCCCCATAACTTTTAATATTTATAAATATGGCCATGTATCTGTATCCTACTTTTTGGATTTTGTAGTATCCACGTACCCGTTTCCACGTTTTCGCGTTTCCGCATACCCGTATCGGTGCTACATAGGTCAAAGTTATAAAGAATGGGGAACAAGGATGTTTTCTTTTGGACTTAAATTTGCTTGTCTGGTCTGAACCGATCTGGTCTGGTCTGGTAAACGTCTGGTCTGGTAAACGTCTGGTCTCTGTGTATTTTATAACTATCCAAGTCTAGGCTGGTCTAGTCTGATCTGTTTAAGTTTGGTCTAGTCTGGTTTGATCTGTGGCTGAAAATAGTCCAAAAGAAAACATCCCAATAAATAAACTCTTAAAAAAGAAGGTCTAAGTTATCCGGACATGAGTCTTTTTATAAAAAAAATCCTACAAACAAAAAAGCGACGTGTTTCTTAAATTGGCACTCCCAAACTTTATTCCGTTTGTAATTCTCGGAAGCAAAATTTGTCGGCACGCCGTTTGGTGATATCGAGACACTTTGAAATAGGTGATAATTAAAGATCTCGAAGTCCAATGGCACGACTACTATTTTTTATCAAAGCGCTACAACCATTTCACTACAGGGTTTTGATATTTCGGGGAAATAGGTTTGAATCTGATGCCCAATCCAACATTAGTTAGGGATCATATGGTTAAAAATAGAGAATACGGAGAACTAGATATGTTTCTTACATTTAAAAAATGAAAAGAATAAATTCAACATTTGGTCCTATGTGTTTTAGGTCAATTCCATATGTAATTCATATCTTTCACTTTGTCTACTTTTGATGCATGACTATTGTGTTTTCACTCATATATGATCCTTCCGGCATTGTTTCCTATGGTTAAAATCGCCGGAAAAGGACCACAAACGATCAAAAAATATTAGTCAAATATCAAAAGTGAACAAAGTGAAATATGTGGATTAAAGATGAAATTGACACAAAACTCGTATGACCAAAAGTGGAATTAATTCTAAAAAAATACACTATTTTTTATTCTAAAAGCGGTTTACACTAATATAGAGAAAACATTCAATTACTTCAATTATATTAAAAATATAAGGTCAAGAGACCTAATAGTGTAAGCTATTATTTCGTCAAATATTAATGTTTTATAATAGAGTTAGCGTCATAAAAAGCAAGGTGACTCGCTAGAAACAGAACGAGCAATTTTAAGTTTACATCTATCGATCGGAAACGAAACACTGTTTATCAAAAGATCACCAAATATCCAAATATTTCAACCATACCTATAAGACGTAAAATAAAAAGTAGTACGTTTAAAGCAAGAATAATACTGAAATAAAGCTTTTCCACAAATCTCTTCCCTATATGAAGGTGCTTTCGGATGAGTGCGAGCTGCGACAATATGAATAAACGATAGTTTTCTCTTCATGCTTTGTTCTGATTAGTCGTAGAGCTATCTGAACTCAAAAACAATCTTGATGCCCTTGTCATACTCTCCAGCAATACATTTATAAAGGGAAAGAATTAAAATATAGTTCTGTTAATTCCTTTGACTTCCTACTTTTTACTCCCTCAATATTCTTTTGATGATTACTACCTCCGTCCTCCTAACATTAGGACAAAAGGGAGTAGTGTGGTTATTAAGAAAAGTAAAATTATGTTGGTAAAATGTAAATAAAACAAAAATGAATGATAGTCACCCAAATTTTAACTGTTGTAAGACCAATAGCATGAAATTTGACCTCCATTCCATTGTCACAGAATTGTCATATGCTAAGCAAATTGTGTTTGAGTCTCTGTACGTATGACACACGCCTGATCGTGACATTCTCACATATTACACCCCCATTTCCAACTATGGGGAACGAAGCATAATTTCTAAACCTCACTTTTCCTCTCGATCGTTCAATATAGTTGCTCGATAGTTCTTTTTGTCCGATCATATGTGACGAGCAACCCGAATCAAATTATACCAAAATTCTCTGATATCAAATTTGTAACGCCCCTCTCAGAGTTAAAGGAAACATTACACAAATTTACTACTTTTAAAAATAACTGCAATATAACGGCCGTTTGTTTAAGAAATGATCCTAATAAACTCTCAAAAGTAACTAAAATAGCTCCAAATAAAATACTTAATAAACTCTGGTTATCACCATCAAATGTGATAACCACCTGGATCCAAGAATTTATTCAAACTTCAAATCCTTAAATAAAATAAAGTAATAATAATTTCTTTATTATAACAACTGAAATAAAATAATAACTAACTAGAAGTCGTCAAGGTCGTTCACGTTAACTCATCTTGGCACGCATTCCACTCCTTCATCATCTTCCTAGGCCTTGGGCTTACCCTTAGCATCTGTACATGCGAAGAAAGAAAACTGATAAGCTTTACGCTTAGAAAGCCCTATGGATCCACAAAAAATATCTAGAAGTCTATGTAAATTTATCAATAGATAAATTGAGGCTATAAGCATGCACTGAACAATTAACTAACAAACAACTTTTCAAAAAATTCTGAGAGAGATCTTAAAAGAAAATATTTTCTAAAATAAATTTTGAAAACTGTTGGAGAGATCTCAAAAATACTTTCTCAAAATAATTCTGTAAAACCTTCTAAAAGAGATCTCATAAACTTTCTGGAAAACTTTCTAAAAGAGTTCTCATAAACTTTCTTTAAAACATTTTGAAAGAGATCTCATAAACTTTCTGTAAAATATTCTGAAAGAGATCTCATAAACTTTCTGTAAACTTCTTTGTGGCTAATTTTAACCGTGGGCCCGTCATATGTACTCAAAGGCGCCAATCAGATAGCTCAGGGCAGGGACCCACTAAAAATATCGGACTCTCTGAAACTGATAACTGGTAACTCTGTGGGAACTTGTTCCCGAGTACATATAACTTTATCTTTCACTTTAAATATCAGTTCTTTTTATGGTGACGTTTGGATAAAAACATCATTAAAATCTTGAAATAAAAGTACTGACATAATCTTGACTATACCAGATAATAAACATAACTTAATATAACAAATAAAATAACTTATCAAATAATCCACCAAATTCACATAATAGCTAATAGTCTAAAATCATCTATTAAAAATCAACCTGACTTCTTTCTTTCATTTGGTTGAACAAACATGTATAGGTGGTAGTGAACTTACCTGTAGAAGCTTGACTCAAATTACTCAATTAAGTGTGGCACCTTGATAACGTCTTCCGGTAAGCTCTTCTTAAAACTCTTTACAAAGTCCCTGACTTCTAGCTTTTGTATTATTCAAAAAGTTTCTACAAGCTTCTAGTTGTGTGTTTGTCATGACAATATTTAAGAGCTTTTCAAAAATTAAAAGATCTTTTTTGAGATGCTACCGGGACTAGCATCTAAGAAAAGCTCGTGATTTTTAGTATAAATTAATCCTAACAGCTTGTATACCAAACCGAACTAAATCAAACAGACAACTTTTTATCAAACAGCTACCACCTTTTCTTTTTAAGATCTTTTCAGCCACTAAAAGCTAACAGCTATTAAAAAGCTCATAAAAGTATCTTTTCAGCTAGTTGTGCCAAACATGCCCAAAGGGTCAAATAAGCCCGTGTACTATCTCCAACCCGTCACTTAAGCCCATGTACTAAAAAAGTATCATATAAGTACACATACTTTTAAAATACAATCAACCAAGCTATTTGACCTGCTATAGCAGGTTGTTTTTTAAAAAAATAAATTAGGAATATTGATAAATATTACAAAAATTCATTGAAATTTGAATAAATAATCTGGTAATTGTATAAAAATAATATAAATGTAAAAATAGATTTTAAAATTTTAAAACTATTAAAATAAAAAATAAATAATTATAAAACTGAAAAAATAAAGTGAAACTAAAAAATTGAAAATAAAAAATTTAAAACCTTTTAAATTGATGTAGAAAATACAATATTTTTAAAAATTAAAAAATATTGACTTTATATTCTGAAAATTTTCACAATTTTTGTATATATTTCTTCAAATTTAACAATTGTGTAGAGTTTTTAAATAATAAAACTCTGCTATTACAAGTCAAGAACTGATTAAATGGTCAAATTGATCAATTTTGTAAAGTAGACGTACTTATATGATACTTTTTTAGTACAAGGGTTTAAGTGATGGATTGGAGATAATAAAAGGGCTTATTTGACCCTTTGTCCTAAATATAATTAATAATAGTATAGTTAGAATCTATTCTTTCAGCGAGCTGCACAACCCAACTCAATTGATCTACCTAGAGACGCTATTTGAACAAATTGAACTTCTTAAAGTAGCTAACTAGCAACCCATTAAAACCAGCTAAAAGTCAATTTTTAAGAAACTTAACATTAAATATGTAAGTTAAGAGCCCGTTTGGTAGCACCCTTTTCTGTCTGTTTTGGCTGATTTTGCTGAAATTTATGAAGTTCTGACTAAAGTTGCTGCATTGGCTCATTCAGCTGATTTAAGAAAAAATATTTTTAAAATATATTTTTATAAATAAAATAAAGAAAAAATTATATGTAAAAATAGCTAAAATGGTCATCTACAGTAACTTCAGCCAATACAGCCAGAAAAGTATTTCCAAACTTACTTTTTCTACTTACTACAGAATTCAGCGCGTGAAAACAAAAGTTTCGTGTTTAGTGGAAAAGTTGGCTCATAAGTCTGATAAGCCGAAATTCAATGTTGTCAAACGGCCTCTAAATCCCCTGTAAATAGAAAAGAACAATAGCAGGGACTGCATTTATCTGATCTCTTCGGGTAATCTGGTACATTTTACTTTTCAACAAAAGAAGCTTGAAGCAATAATTTGTTAATTTGCACCCAAAACAAACTCAATATTTAATGAAAAGTTTACTGCCAAAGTAAATTGGAACAATATTATATTCCGTTTAAAACAAATCCTATTATAAATTAAGTCAGGCTTACACACAACACTAGATGGAGGAGAAGACTAAAAAATAACTGAGTTCCCTTCATTACAAACGAAAACAAACCAGTTTTGCCTGTCAAAGTTAAAAATCTCCACCGGAGCCACTAAATTAACATACTCATTTAATTTAACGTTATTCATAATCAAATTTTTAAGATGATGATGCAACTAGACAACGTGCTCGGATATTTTAGTTGATTTGAAGATATTTGGAAGGTATGACTTAGAAATTTCGCCCCAAATTAATTGAGGATCTATCATGAATAGACCATCAGAGATCATTTTAAAGCATATATAAACCCTCCAATTCATCCCAAATTTATCATTAAATCCCAATTTAATCCATTAGTTGATAACTAGTTTTTATAGTTTTATTTGTTCTTCATGGCGTGCTTAAGGTGTGGAAGCTCATTTCTTCCAACCACTGATGTTTAGGTAATATTTCCTTTATATTTACATGTTTTTCTCCATTCATAGTATTGTAATCTTGGTTAATATGAGCGTTAGAGACTAAGTTATTAGCTAAGGCTAGGGATGCACCTCTATGCCCACTAGGTGTTTGATTAAAGTTCTAAACCAATAAATTGTGATTTATCCTTTATATTTTGATTATTTATGACTATGGTGTACAACATAGAAGTATGTTAAATTTAGTTTATGCTTGCAATTGATGTTGAAGTTTAAACTATGAACATTAAAGGATAAACATATATAGTATCGAGAAAAGAAATATATCTGGTCTTATATGATACGGGTGTGATGTCTTGATATTCAACGGGATTCTCGGTAGATGAACGTAAGCCGTAACGGGACTTACACGTAATGAAAACCACGCTCTCGCTGCCTTAACCGGAGTTGAGAATATTTTAGCGACATCGTATTCATAATTATTGGGAAAAAACTAGTATTAAATCCTATTTAAACATTTCGGTGAATCTCGATTGCCTTAGTAATTCTCATTCTTTTTTGAGGAAAGGGACAAATAAGCCCACGCACTAACAAAAAAATAGGTCAAATAAGCCCTAATATAGGATGCTCTGTCCGGCCATCGCCATTTGGGGAAGTTCCCTGTGGAATTTTTTGATGAAATTTTTTGAGCATCTTATTCATTATGTCTAGTTTACTCATACCAAATTTCAGCTAACAATTCAATCGGGAAGATATTCAAATGAATTCTTGAAGATAACTGTGCAGTTAAAATCGCAGTTATCTTCAAGAAGTCATTTGAATATCTTCCCGATTGAATTGTTAGCTGAAACTTGGTATGAGGAAACTAGACTTAATGAATAAGATTTTCAAAAACATTCATTAAAAAATTCCACCGGGAACTGCCCAAATGGCGACGGCCGGACAAAGTCTCCTATCTAAGGGCTTATTTGACCTTTTTATGTAAGTTTGAGGGCCTATTTGACCATTTTCCCTTCTTGTTTAAACCAATCTCACTCAATACTCAACTTTATATTATCAATCATTTCCTTGTGGATCGACCCAGTATTTACCGGTATTTTATTACTATATCGGCAATTATATGGTTGCAAGTTTAGCCCGATCAGCTAACAATAGTCTTTTCTCGTTCAAGTGTATCTTATGTTTGTATTACTTAACATCCTTGTTCTTCTTAGGCAGCCTGCAATCCTTAATAAGATTTCCTAGCTTTCGACACTTGAAGCATTTAGGAACATCCTCAGCATCCTTTGACATAGAAGTGTCAAATGGTCTATCTTTGCGCTTGGAGCTGGTTGAGGACTTGTGAAGCCTGTTAGAGGAGGAGTTATTCTTTTTCCAGATCCTGTTGTTGAATTTGGACGTCAGAAAAGCTAGCTGTTTTTGAAAGTCCATAAATTCATTATCAGTGATATCTTCATCTTCTTCACTTTCTTCACTTTCAGGAGTAATAGTCTTCATCGTCTCTTTCTATCGTTAGAAATAGATTTGGAGGGTCTGTCAAGCATTAGTGCCAGAGTGTCAGCAAGTGTATCAACAACCGCCTTGCCCTTTTCTTCAACAACGGGGTCTGAGAAGTCATCAACATACTGATCAAGGGTGTTGTACACAACGTGAATGTCTATCTCCTCCAAATCCTTTGTGTGGCGGATGTGTGAGCACAACTTGCTCCATTCTTGGGCCAGAGAAGATAGAAATCTAACATTCAGCTCCATGTTTGACTAGTGCACGTTTATCTTTCCAATTTCGTTTACCAGCCTCAGGAATAGTATGTATGAGTCTTCAAGATATTCTTTGAGTTTAGCCTTGAAAGAGTCATACGCAGTGAAAGTGTTTGCTTTTTTCGCCTTCACATCTATCCCCATTCCTTGCATTATCTTGAAATTTTCACCCCACATCTTTTTAGCAGTTGGCATTTGTCAATATGCATGTAGATGTGATTTCGGATAGCCTAAAGGAGATAGTTTTGGAAAGTAGGTCGGCACAGAATCTGATGCCATCTTGATAGGTCGGCACGAAATCTGATTTTGTCTTCTTCCGTCTCCAACGGGAGGGTTATTGTCAGTAGTTCCTGGAACAAGAGTCCAAATCTGTGCTTTCCCATTCTGAACGGAGTTATCCTTGCTTTCTAAAAAATCAAGAATCAGTTCTTCGACACTGTATACTCCCCCCTTTGAAGAATTGGAGTTCTTATGTCATTTTCGATAGACAGAGTGTCCATTGTTGATTGTGATCGTCAAGGTAATTTGATCAAATTAGTTGAGGAGTCTAAGAAGTCTGAACCTCAAGAACTTGTACTTCGAACTTCGAATGGAACCTCGAATTGATCTAAACATGGCAGAATTTCAGACAGAATGAGTTCGAACTTGAAAGCTTCAAGAAGACGAGCTCGAACTTAGGTAACGAACCTTGGGGTCTCGAACTCTGGGGTCTCGAACTCTGAGATCTCAAGCTGTGGGGTTACGAACACATGTGGAGTTAGAAAAATATTTCGACGTAGACTCTAACTTGATGATCGAACTTAAGTCTCAAGAAGTGGGCTCGAGCTTTGGAGTTCGAACTTGTGGTCTTCGAGCTGAACCAGTTCTTCGTTATGCAGAATTTTGACCTGTGATTCAAACATGTTGAAAACTCAAATGCAATGTATGAAAATAATCCCAATAATAAGGCGATGCCAATGGAATGTTTTCCATATGTTTTCGAGCTCGAATCACGAGTGATTTAATCTTCTTCTTGTTCGTCGAGTATAGAGTGCGAGAACAATGAAGATAATGGATTGACACCTCGTCTGCTCTAATACCATATGCTGGAACCCAGAAATCAGCAATAGAGAATAGGATACACAAGAAATGACAGAAGAAACAGATGAGGATTCATTGATAATGATCTCAGAATTTTTTACATGATGAATATCTCTCCTTCTCACTCTCACGCTAAAAATGATGCCTGCGGCACTTTGAGAATAATTCACGCCGATGCACAGACACCTAATGCGATAAGTATTTATACCTTGGGTATCTATGCACGTCATTTCATAATCATGGGCCCAAATTTCTATGTGAGGCCCTTAGACATTTTAGATTGAATACAATAATTTCACTAGATCTATTCTGGGAAAATAAATTATTACAAGCACATAAAATATAATTGATCACAACTAAAATATCTTCTAAGAATTTTCAGAGACCGAAGGCGGTTGGCGTTTCTTTATTTGAAAGTTTAACAATAATTGTGATTGGCCAAGTGCATCCTCGCTATTGGATGACCAAAACGATCATTCCTATAAAAGCCTTTGATTCGGGGATGCTCCCCCATTTAAGCCTTATCCCCCATTTAACTATAATGACACTCTATTGCAATATTTTTTGTGTAAATTATTATTATTATTTGTAATATTTTTGAAATCCCACCTATTTTTTATCAGGTTTTTTTGGATCTAGTCTCATTTTGAATTTTTTACACAATAACTTTTTCACCAATAACTTTTTCATTTATATTTTAATTATTTAATTTGTAATTCTTACTAATACTCTCTCTTCTACAAAGTCTTAATTACACAATTTTTCTTATATTAATCAACTTCAACAAAAATATGAAATTTTAACAAAATTATAAGTAAACATGCCAACTCTTGAAAATCTTAGGCCGTGATAGTCTCCAGAATGTGGCATTGATCTACCAAATCCTCCATTGGAATTTGGACCAACACAAAGGTTTCGACACATGCCAACTCTTGAAAATCTGATTTTTATAAATTATTTACGAAGCCGAGAACGGTTCGACTATTAACATTTTTCGATTCATAATTTTTTTTTATCTAAGAATTCACTAAACTAGTGTCGTATGAAGTCATTCAATGTTTGAAAAGAAAATACGTAGTACAAATTTTCCTCGGCAAGTCATTGGAAAAAAACACAAATGAAACCATCTTATAGGAACATTCAATTCAAAACAATTTTGGTGCAGCGTGCTGAAAAAAAAACAAATGAAACAATCTCAAAGAATAGAAAGAATATAATTAAAAAAATCGAACAGAATTCAATTGAAAATAGAATTTTGAATTTCAGGATGGGAAAAACCAATAGCCTACAAACAGTAGGCAAGATTTAGTAAGATTTAGTTAATACGGAGCGAGAAGGTTTTCTTTTAATTATTTTCAATCCTAGACTATATAAATCATATGATATAAATCATATGATATCATACCAAACTTTAATGATTATAAAATAAATAGAAATTAAATGTTTACAAAATCACACTAGACTAGTTCAGAACAAATCAATTCAAAAAACATCCTTATTGCATAATCATTTTTAATAAAGGACACTTATAACTAAATGAGAGTCAATTAAATGATAAAAAAATGAGTCAATTGAAATTACATTTGCTATCCTTATTCCGTTTTTAAATAAATGCAACGATCAACATTTCACTTATTGAGACACAAATTTAATCATTAATATATATGATGTTGTATTAGTACAAAATTTAAAAAAATTAGAATATAAAAATTGACAATGAGACAAATCTAACACTACTTTTTTCTTAAAAAATATATATTATTATATTATATTAATAAATAAAACATAATCAAAATAGAACATGTGCATAATATAAAAATTAAAATGTTGCTTTTATTTAAGAAAAGAGTAGCTCTAGTTAGAAATGAATGCTTATTCAAATTCATAAATGTTGATGTACTTTATATTAAAATTAGTATACATACAAACAAATTACAATCATTTAAAGAAAAAACAAACTATTTTAATTTGAGGTCTCATTTTTTAGTTGGGTAGTTAGATATTTTGATGTCAAAATAAAAATTTCGTATGTCAGCCAACAATTTTCTGGAAATTATTTTAACTATGGAAATTATTTTAACTATGATCTTCCAAAATTGAATTTACTTTTCATAGCACAATCAACGACCCGGAATTACTTTTGGAAAAATGGCGAAAAATAACATGCAAACTACAAATAGAAAAGGTACAAGCCAAGTGTGGACAAAAGATGCAGCTAGGTTTAGTTGTGAGAGTCATCATCTGGCACTGTAAATCCAAGAAGTCAGCCATAAAAGCAGTGGGTTAGATAAGGAATTGATTGCAAAGTCTCGCAAGATCTATAAAGCCAATTTCCAGGACCTGTAAATGGAAAATCCAATCTTAAAACAAATATTTTGAATCAGTTTGTTGTTGCAAATAAACCTGTAAATTTTGGAAATAAAAAAACTGTATTAACTTAGGCTCTGTTTGCAAACTTTATTTATAAATGCCTTTGGTTTTTTTAAGAAAAAAAGCACTTATTTTACCAAACGCTACCAAATTTTACTATCTTGATTTTCGTGTAGAATCTACTTTTTACTTTTTCTATTACACAAAAAACACTTATTTTAACAAACACTATCAACTTTTACTACTAATCACCTTTTTCCAAAAAAATGCTTTTATTTAAACAAAGTGGTTGCAAACAAAACCTTATTAATGGTAAAATAGTGTCCGTACATCTTTCCGGTAATACTGACAATTAAATAATGGCTATGAAATTAAATCTATTCTTTTTATTAACGAGCCATAAAGCCATCAAGAAGTTGAAAAGATAAAAAACGTTGCAGCTCCGAGATTCATTATTGCAACTCGCACTGATTCACAGCTATGATAGCTCAGCTGTCATATATACACATACATATATATAGTTAAAAAAGAGGGCATCAATTTAATGACATACTAGGGCTAATTCTATTATCGATCTCAAAATTGTAAGAATTCTGAAAAAACAAATAAACGAGGTAATTAATGAGATTCACCACATTCTACCAAGTTTATCTTTATGTTTAAGTATAAATTAACATCTCTCCGATTTAGATGATGCAAATGAATGGACGAAATAAAGTTATGCAGCGTAATTTCTCAGCATAGATATCGATAAAGTAAAGGTGAGAAGTGACGTTTCACATATGCATACTGTAGCGCACTGCCGTGCTGGGTAGGCGTGCGAAGAGCAATAAAATTTTCACTTGCACAGAAAGGGAAAGCGAGAAGAAGAGGTGGGGGTAGAGCTCCCTTCAATCCAAACAAGGATTTAAACAGTGGGAAATGAAGCTCCTCACATATGCACACCACAAGCCTATCCAGCCATGGGCAAGGGATAGGCCTGAGGGATCCATAGGCAAGCAGCTCTATTGTCCCAGTTACATCCTCCATTTGAACAGAAGGGGAGCTCAACTCTTTCAACCCTAATCTCACTCCATCTTTTAACCCAAAACAACTACAACGAAAGAAGATGGAGCATCATACCCAAGAACACCTACATACAGAAAACAAAAAATATATAGATCAGATCCATGAAACCCAGTATTCTTCGGGGAGATGGGTGTTGGAAACCCTAGTGGTTAGGTTTATTGAGGAGAGAAGCAAAGCTAGCTCAAGGAACTGACTAGAGGTGGACGTTTGGGTTAGCTGTTGCTTCGATGTGCGGTTAAAGAACTGAAAGGGTGCATTATTATATAGGAGAAGATGGACTTGCCTTTTCAATATTTTAACTGTTGGTACAGTGTATTGTAGCCCTATAGCTAGGCAAGCGAGGCGCAATCTACAATAACAATAACCTCTCTTTTGAATTTTCCTCACACCTCATCGATTGCAAGAAGCATATAAAGAGCATACCGAAACTAGGTGAATGGGGTGAATCTCTTACTTTAATCCGTAGAAGTTAGAACTGTGGAAAAATCCTAGCTCAAATGGAGTATATTTTACTACAGCACTATTTGTACTACGTTATTTTTCAATTCATTAATTAAAGAAGTCATCCTGACGTAAGTGCTTGAGTCTGCAATGTGTATTGAGGTTGACTACGTCTTAATAGATATTTTGATAATGTGTTTGATTGCTTTAAAAAGACCTACCTATGTGAGCTAGGATGGCGGATGATTCACCAAATTTGCGCCTTCACATGTTGGAGCTCATTAATAGATATGGATACAAAGTCCTTAATAGTGTCAAGTTTTCAAATGAAAATGTAAAAAGTTTAATATGTGTAATATCTTCAATATTTCAAAGTGGTTATACAGTTCAAAGTTTAGTAGGTTCAAATAGGTTCAATAGGTTATCCGGAACAGGGTCCCCAAATGTATGAGACCCCAAATATTTAAAAAAAATCTAATATTATATAGTTACCAAGTAAGGAAGAAAAATAAAGATCCATTTTTTTTCGGGGGTCCTTTTACTCTTTTAGTTCTCTTTTAATCAATACTCAATTGATTTGAGTATAAGTATTTAGATTGAGATTTTTTAAAAATTTGTAATATTAATGTGAGGCCCCGTTTTTACATTTTGAACCAGGACCTCCAAATCCATTAGATGGCCCTGATGGTTAGATATCTTAATTCTTAAGTCCCAATACTAATTATAGCTACTTTTAAATATTAATTGTTAGTTTAACCAACATTTTAATAAGTTAGGATAAATGTTATTGTTTATTTATCATATCCAAACCACACACAACAGGCAGAAAGCTTGATGGTTAAAGATGTTTTTACTTGGACTGTAGTTATCCTAGACAGACCAGATCAGTCCAGACCAGACCAGACTTGGGTAGTTATAAAAATACAAAGAAATCAGACCAGACCAGACCAAATCAGACTAGACCAGATTAGAACAGGACCGGCAAATTATAGTCCAAATAAAAACATCCTAAATCTACGTTTTTAGGCTTAAACAACACACAAATGACAAATTATAAAATAGGTAGTGTATGTTAGGTAAATTATATTATACCACCGGTTGTACCATCCGCGCGGTATAGCCGGCGGTTTTAGTAGTGTTACGTATGCAATTACGCATCACCCGTTCCTTTCTTGGAAAATGCGTTTGGTACACAAAATGTGTACACATGTCTGTCATTCGGAGAAAATTTGTCTGTCACAGATAACTCATAATGAATTGTCTGTGACAGACAAATTTTCTCTGAAGGACAGACATGTGTACACATTTTGTGTACCCCAAGCAAAATCCTCCTTTGTTATGCTTTCTTCTTCCACACGTTCTTCCACTTTTTTTTCCTTTAACCACTACTTATAATTTTATATTAAATTATTATGAAATGTGTAATTTCAGATAAAATATTATTTAAGGTTCCAGATTTTTCCCTTTTTCAAAGCAAGCTTATAACCTAAATATGTGTATAGTAAAATATTTTAGATAATAATGTTTTATTTTTTTATTTTATATTTTCAGATGAACGGATTAATTTAATAACGAATCTACTACAAGTACATATTATAGAAAAGAGTTTATGTTATATTCGAATGAGTATAACGATTAAATGGAATGAACACACACAATGAATATTTGAGCACATATTAGAGAGTTGAAATGAGCTTTTTAATTTTTTGATACTCGTTTTGTAAGTTATGTATGCTCATCTGATAATGCTTTTATGTTCATTTTAATATGTCAAATCAATGCATATTTCAAAAATATCATATTGCATATTACATTGCAATAGCATAAGAGTTGATTACATACACGAGGGCAAAGATTATGATATTCAATTACATGCTTCTAATACTCGATAGAGAAAGTTTGACGTTCAGTGAAAATGCCTTGATGTTCCACTAACCAAGTTTACGATTTTCATATCAATGCTCATTTTGTAAGTTACGTATGCTCATTTGGTACTGATGTTACACTCATTTTAACATGTCATATAAATACATATTTTTAAAGTATCATTTTATATGAGATTCACATTTTGATATTCATAGGAATTGATTATATAAATAATTTTGAAAAAAATTACTCCCTCCGGTTTTTAATAAACTTCACACTTTCCTTTTTGGGACGGTCTAAAATAAACTTCACACTTCCTTATTTCCTTTTTTGGCAAAGAAATCTACATCAAAACAGTGTCAAACAGTGCCAAACAGTGTCTCAACAGTGCCAAACAGTGTCTCTACAGTGCCAAACAGTGTCAAACAGTGCCTCAACAGTGTACTCTACAGTAAAGTCAAATTTCTTTCCTTATTTTGTGTGAAGTCAAAGTGAGTATTAAAAGAAAAACAAGAAAAAGGAAATGAATTAGAAAATATGAAGCAGAGATCGCAATGCTCATTGTTAGCCTCCTAATACTCAATAAAATATTATTGATGCTCACTAAAATTGTCATAATATTGTCATAATGTTTTAATATGAACACTATTACGCATGGACTATTGAAATGAGTTTTTCATATACTAACATGAGCATAATTTTTAACAAAAATGTGCACTCATGTAACATTTGGAAACTGACCAAATAAAGTTCAAGTCTTGAATGGTGTATTACCGAGTATAAAATTGTAGATGAATTTGTTATAATTCTTATAGATATATATATTGAAAATTTGTTAAGTAATTTATTCAATTTTGTTAAGAGTCAATTTGATATAAATTAAGAATTATAAAGAAAAAAAGAACATGAAAAAAAGAAGCATGGGTCGTCTAATAAAGTAAGGATGTTTTTACTTGGATTGTAATTTGTCCCAGACCAGACCAATCCAGTCCAGACCAGTTCAGACCAGATCAGCCTAGACCAGACTTGGATAGTTATAAAAACACAAAGAGACCAGACATTACCAGACCAGACCAGATCGGACCAACAAATTACAGTCCAAGTAAAAACATCCTAAGTAGGCAACGTAGGTGGGCCGCACACCATAAGGAGACTAAGCGCGACTGTAATGAAGAGAATCATTAAAATGGGCAGAAAGTTAAGAATAATCCCAATAAAAATCTGGCTCTACGGTTCCCACCCGTACAGCCGGGTGTGTCATCTACACACTCGCGTATGTTATACAATAGTCAAATAGTTACTCCATAATACTTAGTAGGCCGAAAGATTTGAACTTCTTAATTAGAAATGCTAAAAAGGTGAAAAGTACTCCGTATTATAAATTTGATTTGGGGTATTGGGTTGTTTCACTTTTTTTTGGATGAAATGTAAATATAAATTAACACCAGAAAACTATACATCACATATCCTAGATCTCCTAACCCCCTCACCCACCACAAAATGTGAGGGTGAGAAGAGATTTTTATTCGATCTATTCTATGCTAAAAAACAGATCAAGCATCGGTGCAGCAAGTGCACACACACAGATCAAACGTTCTAGAAAATTCTAACCAAGCATGGGTTGTTTCACTTATTTCGGCTGAATGCGTGACGAGGCTATTTTGTTTTCATTGCGGATATACGAAGTATATGCTAGACTTATATTCTTAAAAGTCTTGTTAGGCGGCGGAGAGGCGTGCCTATGCACAAAGCGGAGAGCAAACGCCCCGCATATGCTTAAAGCGTGATCAAAGGCGTCTTAAGCCTTTTTTTTAATCATCAAAACATGCCTCTATTCATATCAAAAGATTCAGGATCATTACACCAAGCAAAGAGAAAACAAAACTGACACCAACTAAAACTCCAACAACTACGATTGTAACCCTATGGTGAGACTTTGAGACGGTCACCCCTGAAAGAGCAACACGAATCGCTAACCATGTAGTGGGCTTGACACAGCCAAACATGTTCCCATAGATCCAACCATACCCCATGAGATAAAGAGGGACTAAAAACTCAAACAAATTGTCAAAATCAACAACAAAGATGAACACAAGAAAACAAATGACAAACAGATAAAAATTACTAGGAAAACTTTCACGAACTCTAGCACCTCGTACAACCCATGGTGGTGGTTCAGGCGGAGGTCGGACCGTCGCTCGATTGATACCCTCTTTCAGTGGCGTACCCGCCGTGTGACCCAAATCCATGTCATCGAATGGAGCGTTCAGCCTCTCCACGCAAACAATGTCCCGATCATCCCTACGTCTCTCTCGCTTCTTCCACCATCTTCTCGTTATCACTATCATCCATCCCGAGCTACGTCCAAACCACGGCAATCCGGCGCAAAGCTATGTCGATTAGAAGAAACGCCGCACCAAGGCGGCGAAGTAAAAACCCTACGCGAGAGATCTCGCTAGGGAAACACTGACTGAACTTCGAGCAAGAAAGATCTAAATCGGAAATTACCTAGTGGCGGCTCTGCCCTAGGAGCTCTCTTTCGAAGCGGATGCTAACTATATCCGCGATTTTTTTAAGTTTGTATGCTTAGTTTGGCGTGTTAAGCCTTTACAAATGCTAAAACTAATACTCTCCGTCCCCCTATAGTTGTCTCATATTTTTTTATTTTTGGATGTCCCTCTACTACTGTCACATACCATAGTTGGTAACATTTGTGTGGCTCTAATTCATTCTTACTTTACTCCCACTTTATCAACTCATTATCAACCACACAATTCTACTTTTTATTAAAAACAACATAATTTCCTTCCATCCCAATAATAGGGAGACAGATGGAGTAATTAATAGATGGTGCTTTTAGAAAAATTCTAAATGTACACACTTTTTTTGTGTACACACTTTCACACACGAATGTAGGGATTTTTGTCTGTACAGACAAAAAAAACTACACAGACACGTGTAAAAGTGTGCACACCAAAAAGTGTGTACCCCAAGTCCAACTCGTGCTTTTATATCCACGTGGTAGTGGAGAACGGATATGTTGCTGTTACACTGAGCACCTGTTAGGTCCCTGTTTTCTAGTCTATAAAATGTATGTATGGAAGATAGATCTGGGAATGAAGCTTTCCATTGAATGATGAAGAAGTTTACAGAATGATGAACAATTTAGCGTAAAACTTCTATCACCCATATAGGCACTGCGGCACAGGGAATTTTGAAAAGCTTAACCTAGCCTTTCCCTTAAGGCATATATATATAGCCTGACGGGAAAGGTAGGTTTTACAATCATTTGGGCTCCTTTTCCTAGGAGGCCCATACCTAAAAAGGTATAAAACCTTTATTACAAAATTGCCTTAAAAGGCCTATTCATTATTCTAGCTAACTATAAACTAGCAAGGTAACATTGATCAC